CAGAAACTTGCATTATGCGCCTATTCAGATCTAAACAGGAAACCTATCTATGGGTCTATAAGTGAAAATACAGCTCAGGAGGAACTAATTTGGGTTCTACAGTTATCCTCTATCTGATCCCAATGACAAAGTCACTTGCTGATGCCCATGCTGATGTGTGGGTGGATAAGGCTGATAGCTCTAATAAATTATATAGATGGGCTTAAACAAAAAAAACCCCACGCCATCATCTCAACAGATGCAGAAAATGCCTTTGGCAAGAACCCAACGTGTTCTCTGTGGTGAAGTGTCGTGCTAGGTTGTAAGGAGAAGGAAAAGATTATAATTCAGGCACTTCAGTTCTGGGCTTTTAGCTACTATATTGCTGCCTCTAATAAATTCTAAAACATCACGTAGAGACAGAAGTTATTTTAAATGTAGTTGAAAAAAATAACTGTGCATCATTCATATTTACAAAATGCCAAAAAGTGTTTCTCTCAAGTTTCATGGTGGGGACTCAAATCCAGGACCTCACACATGCTGGGCAAATCTTAGGACACTTAGTGTCTTAGTTAGGGTCTCTGTGGCTGTGAAGGGACACCAAGGCAGCTCTTGGAAAACATTTAACTGGTGCTGCCTCACAGGTCAGAGGTTCAGTCATTACCATCACAGCAGCAATTGTGGTGACACGCAGGCAAACATGGCGCGGGAGAAGGGGCTGACAGAGTTCTTGATCTGCAGGTAGCAGAAGTGAAGACTGTCCCATCAGGCCTAGCTTGAGCATATAAGACCTCAAAGCCCACCTACACAAGGACACCCTTCCTCCAACAAGGCCATACCTCCTAATAGTGCCATTCCCTATGGGCCAAGTATTCAAACAAGTGATTCTAAGGGGGCCATTCTTACTCAAATCGCCACACTTAGCAATATCCCTGTCTATTGCTTTTTTTTTAAATTTAAGTAATAAACAAATACAGGATACAATCAATACACTTGGCAGATGAGAGTGGAGCAGATTTGATAGCCTTTTAACAAATAAGTTTCTTAGCTGGGCGGTGGTGGCACATGCCTTTAATCCCAGCACTTGGGAGGCAGAGGCAGGCGGATCTCTGTGAGTTCGAGACCAGCCTGGTCTACAAGAGCTAGTTCCAGGACAGGCTCCAAAACCACAGAGAAACCCTGTCTCGAAAAACCAAAAAATAAAT